CGAGACGATTGCCAATTGAAGAAACACAGAAAACAATTAGAAGAATGACAAATACAATTGAGACCGAAGAAGCACTACTTCACGAAATAGCTTTTTCCTGTCCTTTAGCATATATGCATTATTTAATATCAGTCTATGGTAGTGTTCGTTTACCACAATATGACATTGGTATTATCATGAAATATATAAATGGATCATCACTTGCTGCTGCTCTCAATGATAAATCAACAATTATTCACAATTTCTCTATTCGAGAACGTTTAGAAATTACATTGAGTATCGCTAAAGGTCTCGTTGAACTTTATTTAGTTTACATTGTTCATCGTGATTTTAAAGTAGAAAATGTTCTTCTTTTTCAATCTTCTAATGGTAGTTACATATCAAAAATAGCGAATTTTGATCTTAGCTATCAATTGGCAATCGTCTCGGCTACGTTTGTCAAAGACTTTGGTGGTACTGTTGGTTATGATGTACTTGAAATCGTCAGATATATATTCTTTAGCTTTTACTCTCTACGAACTTTTGGCAATCAAATGTACTTTTACTGGTATGAAATCGGTACGAATTCTGGCAAGGTTCACTATGCGCTGTGAATGGTCACATAATTGGTCTTTTGAAATAGCCGGTTATTTGAAACATCCTATTGAACAGGCTTGTTCAATTGAAGGTGATCAACAAACATTCATAGGGTGAAATAATTTATGTTATTAGAAAATCTCTTAATCAAAATCAATTATCATGTGTCGATATTCTTCGTGAGACGAATAAGTTATATAAGAAGATAGTTTCTATTCGACTCGAAAACTTCGAATCATTTGAACTATTTATATTAAATTAATTTTGTTAAACGTATAATGATCGATATATTGTAAAGCTATGAAAATGTTTATGTAATAAACTGTCTAAGAGTTTATAACATAAATAATCATTTTCTAATTAATACTTTTTTTCATTTAATCTCATTAAAATTTAATTGTTTAAACTGTTATTATTTATCATAGCATCATATTACTCTAGATTAAACTTATTTTCAATTAATTATACATTCTAATATAAAGCATTTAAACAATTTATCTCTGGATATTCATTAAAAAATTTTAAACTTTAATATAAATGGGTTTTTTTTTTTTTACGAATGTTGATTTTCTTTTTCATAATGATGCAATTAACCAATTCAATTAATCAATATTAATCAATCATGACTTATTTATATTTTATTTTCATGTGTTAAACTACCACTAAGTCCTTAAATTTACTTATTTTCTTAAAAGATCTTTAAAAAATGTTTCAATGGTTCAAAATGAGAATATTAAATTATGATCAAGTATTTAAAACATATTCTTTGTTCTCGATACGAAAACAACAGGAAATTATATTAACATAATAAGGTTGTAGTTTTGTTTGCTACTGTTTCATTAATTGTTTCTCGATAAATCAGATTGAATTTAGTTGATTTTATTTTTGAATGACTAATTTTTAATAATGATATCAATATATAAATGAGTCTTTTGAAACTAAATATGATATAATATGTTATCATAAATAAATGAAGAATATTATTATATCTATAATAAGA